TCTGCCCCGCAGCTCCAAAAATCCGATCGGACGTCGTTCGCAGAAAGCCGCTCGGATTTAATTTCCTACGGACATTTAATTTCCACTTTTGCGTTCCCACAGAGCTGAACACCGTAATTACGAGCCGAGCGAAGTGACACCGGGCAAATAAACCGGCACGATCGGGCATCGGAGCGTGATACAATTTTCTGCCACAAAATAGTAACTCGGTAAAAGGGGCGAGTCAGGGGCGTATCGGGGTAATTAATTCTCCGGCGCGGTTCAATAAAACACCGGGGGGAGACGGTCGCCGGTGTCGACCTTCAAATTACAGCCTGGAACGCCACCAAATTCCCGACCTACGTCACTATAATTACGGGTGGTCGAGGGTAGAACAGGTTCCAGCGATTTCATTCAATTTGTATGGGGGGGGGGGGGGCACGGGCTGCGGTGACCGGGTGCCGCGTAGATCTTCCAAGATATCGAAAGAGACGGTCACCGACGGGCACCGTGGAAATGGGCCCTCGTGGGGAGGCCCCGGCCGAGGGAAAGGGCTTTTCACCGTCGAAAGCGTGTAAATCAATCGTTCTCCGCGTTCAGTCCCGTGTGAAGCGGATTTTATGGCTGGAAGCGGATAAAAACGCGGGTTCACCCATGTTTCCACTTTTCTGGGACCAAGATGGCGCGAGTCGGTGCTATCGTCGACACGGAAACGGCATTAGCTTCATTGTTCCGTTAATTGGAGGCGCTGATAACGCTGCTAATTGCGGAACCAGGGAAACTGCTCTAAAACCGCTTGCCCGAGACCGAAGCTGTGTTCCTTGATTTTCTGGATAGCCTATGGGGTGTGCGCCACTTTATGGCCACGGCAGAACCTTGCACGGATCATTTAGTATACATCTCGTAGCAGCTAGCGGAGAACGTGCACGTGATCTCGTGGATTTTAATCCGTGGAAGTCGTTTTTGGCTGTTAGAAGAACCTGTTGCAAATTGAGCCCGAGTGTATTCATTTTTCTTGTATCGATAGTCTTATGGAATTAAATTTGCGTCAACATGGTGGAGATCGATGTAACAATTACGAAACGTTGCGGTGAATTTATGAAAATAAACTGCCCGAAGTCTGCTTGGAACGTGAGATTTAAATTGATCGACTTTAAGCAGGAGTGACGTGAATTATTATGAATTTTTATCATAAACTTGAAATATCGTACGTTTTTAATAGAAGATGAAATTTTAGCAGATCCTCCGTAGGAATTTATAAATAGAAATTTTAAATTATAATGTTTTAAATTCTAGTCAATTTTTGATAGGAAATTATGTTGTATAATAAATAATAAACTGCCCGAAGTCTGCTTGAAACGTGAGATTTAAATTGATCGACTTTAAGCAGGAGTGACGTGAATTATTATGAATTTTTATTATAAACTTGAAATATATATATATATCGTACGTTTTTAATAGAAGATGAAATTTTAGCAGATCCTCCGTAGGTATTTATAAATAGAACTTTTAAATTATAATATTTTAAATACCAGTAAATTTTTGATAGCAAATTATGTTGTAATTAATTTTAAATAGGGGTGAAATTCAATTATAATGAATTTTGATAATAAACTGAAATTACAGTGGATCGTTAACAGAAATTTAAATCGCAATCAATTTTAAAAAGGAGTGAAACCGAGCATAGTAGATTTTTTTCTGTAAAATTTAATTGCAACGAATTATCATTATAAATTTCAATGATAGCAGATTCTTGGTAGAAGTTCAAGCTTGATTAAACGTAAGAAAAATCGCAAGAACCCGAGGACTCGTTCGACATAAATTCGCCGGACGAAGAGACTCGATGCTCGTACATTGCAATCACAAGGCCCGCGAGCCGGAGAAATGATGGAACAATAGGACATAGAGTTTCAGTGGCGCGCAGCGTGTTCCATGGGACATTTTCGAGGCGGTTTATCCGGCTCGATTTACGGAACGCAGATCGCACGGAATCGTTGAAACTATTTTCAATCTGGCCCCGGTTAGGCAGGAACTGTCGCGGTTCCGGCCTCGTTAATTCCATGTTTATAGCGTCGTGCCGGGAATTAGATTAGGCGGCGGCGTGCGCGCGCGATCCTCATAACCGCGGGTCAACACACACACACACACACACACACACACACACACACACACACACACACACACACACACACACACACACACACACACACACACACACACACACACACACACACACACACACACACACACACACACACACACACACACACACACACACACACACACACACACACACACACACACACACACACACACACACACACACACACACACACACACACACACACACACACACACACACACACACACACACACACACACACACACACACACACACACACACACACACACACACACACACACACACACACACACACACACACACACACACACACACACACACACACACACACACACACACACACACACACACACACACACACACACACACACACACACACACACACACACACACACACACACACACACACACACACACACACACACACACACACACACACACACACACACACACACACACACACACACACACACACACACACACACACACACACACACACACACACACACACACACACACACACACACACACACACACACACACACACACACACACACACACACACACACACACACACACACACACACACACACACACACACACACACACACACACACACACACACACACACACACACACACACACACACACACACACACACACACACACACACACACACACACACACACACACACACACACACACACACACACACACACACACACACACACACACACACACACACACACACACAAAAGAACCGTATAATAATTTTCAATCAGGTGGGGTCGAGATAAAGTGGACCGGTTCGCTGGCTTATTGATAATACAGATAACTTCTCCCGATGGGCTCGGACAGGTTACAATTGTTTTTATGCCCGTCTAACGAGCTCTAATATGTTTTGTTCCCGTTCCGGCCAATGAGCCGAAGTCGCGTAGCGTGCGATTAACGTTTACCGATTAAGAAAAATCATCGTCGATGGTAATTCGAAGAGGCTCCGGCGGGACTACGGTGCCCGAGATATTGGTCTCAAGAACAGCTGATCTTTTATATAGCTATCATAATCATAGTAAACTTTTTAGTGAATATAATATGTAAATATATAGCTATCTCCGCCCTTTCCTAAGTGTGCATAGAAAAGCAAATAAATCTCCGAGGAATTTCAATGCTTCGAATAAAAGGAAAAATTTTATAGCAGAATTATTTTAATTCTTTAATTCTTTAATTATTTTCTTAGGAAATTATTTCTTCGGCAGTTTATTAGACTTAGTCCAAAAATTGATTCATTCAAATACATCAAATTCGTAAACGTGGATTTTATGCACTTATGACAAGAATTTTACTTATTTTCTTGTGTCTCATTCCAAGTAATAATAGCTAATAATAATATAATAAATATATAATATAATAATAGCTCATTCCAAGTAATAATAATAAAAAGGAGTATTTAACCCATTGTCCCATCGTCTCAAAACAAAATCCCTAAATCTAAAAAAACATTATCGAGTATCAAGAGGTTATTTTTATGGAACATTTTTGCGTGGGTCACTGTCGCGCGCAGTCCTGTATTTCGAAATGAACGAAGCGAAGTTCTAATCGACGAAAGAATAGTAATAATTTCAATGGATCCGAGACCGCGTGTTTCCAGCGAGGATCGATGGGAACCCTAGCCAGCCAGTATCTTTATAAATAGAGGCGTTTAAAAGTAACCACGGGGACCGGTTTCTAAGGGGTCCAATAAAGTAACATCAGAATCGCGGGCGCCCCTTTTTTCGCCATCACAGCGAATTGTCATAAATCGGTTGGCGAACGAGGCAGCCCACGGCCGACAGGATATTTTATGGTGTACTATCGGGTGCACGGTGTGTCCCCGTAAAGAATAATAGACCGTGCCACGGCCGGCCTTAGAGAAACACATGGCCGGGGCTGCTCCTCGGGGTCTCGAAACCAGACCTGGATTTCGTTGCACCAGAACACGTCCGGTGCATCCTCACGATGCACTTTCGATCCCCATAGATCACGTGCACGGACTATGACACTAGGACACACCCCCTCCTCGAGTCTACGAACATTTCGTCTCCATTTTCAAAACCTGTCGGCTTATACGTTACTTTCACCTATCAGAAAATTGTTTGCACGATCCTTTCGTTCTGATATGAGAAACGAAAATTGTCTGAGATGTTTTATAAGTTTTTCGTTGCTATAAATAATAGGTAACTTGAACGATACGATTTTATATTGCAAATATAAAGTGTGTCAGTATATCAAACTAACATACTTTGTTACATTTCTGTCAGAAATTATATTTATATACGTATATTATGTGTATATTATATGTATGATATATACAATATTTATATTTATATATATATATTTTTTATTATATATATATATATATATATATATATATATATATATAATATAATATATATAATATAATAAAAAATATCTATATTCTGAATAAACATTTTTAAAAATTCAATTGCCCACAAGAGCAACGAGCAAAATCTATTTAATGAATTATTGTTTAGCATAAAAATTAGTAAGCAGCAGCGACAAGGCTACTGACGTATTTAACAAAATATTGTTTACCATCAGATTTAATGAACAGTAACAGGTGTGTGAACGCGCCCAATGCAAATATTGTTTACAAGATGACATTTCATGTTCGTGTTGGGAAAGCAGACGAAGGAAAATGTTTGTGCCCACAGTAGTAAATAAGGGATCGAATGTCCCGATCGGAGCGGGGCGAGAAAATTATTTGTCCTTCGACCCTGTTTTCGACGCGTTTCCGCCCGTTTCCCAAAACAGCCGATCCCGTCATCGAACCACCAGAGACAGACACAGAATAAACAAATCTTTCCATGTTCCGTTTCAGAAAGTCACAAATGCCGCGTCACTAGCCAGACCCGCTACCTGTCGTCGAAGAAATCAGGATGGCGATCGTAAAGTATCTCATGATCGGGATACTCCTGATCCTGCAGATCGATCGGTCTACGCAGGGACAGCTGGTTCGATTAGGTGAGTAAACGTCTCGCACCTTATCGACGAGATTACGAGCAAAATTGGAGAAACATAAGTTGACCTAATTCGGCGAGATGTTCGCAACAGATAGAGTTCAAGAATCGAGTTGTTGTGTCAAGGTTATTTTTTAAATGATTAGGCGAGGTAGGAATGGGCTATGAAAATGGTAGCCTAAATGAAATAAAACGTAGCCTAAATGATTAGGCTATGTTCGACCGACTAAAATTATTGAAAGGGAAAACACGTTTTCATTTCGCTTCTTTTTCTGACAATTTGGAAAACTTTCCGCTTCGCACGAAGAATCTCGAACCAATAATAATAATAATAATACTTGAAAATTTGTTCTTCCGACGATAAACGACGGTTCTTAGCCGGAGCCGCAACGGCTGCTTCTCTCCTATAATTAAAGACGAGCGAGCGGAGCGAGAGCGGAAGGGGTGAACAGCGAAGCGAAAAATTTGAAGCGCGAGAAAAAATAAAGTCCGGCAGAGGAGGAAAAAGCGGAGGAAGAAGCGGAGGAAGCAGACAGGAAGAAAGTCGACGAGAGGGAGGAAATGTCGCGACGGGACACGTGGTACGGGCCCCTAGAATCGTAAAAGAAAGCGGCGATATTTTTGTAGGCGATCGAGGGTGGGGAGGGATGATCTCGCGAAAGAGAAAGTTACGAGTGCGGAATGGATGGAACGTGGAAAAAAAATATAGCCGCGAGGGTGGCAGGGAAGTGTCTCGCGAAAGAAGTAAAATTAACACGGTCGCGCGTTTCGAACGTAAGGATGCCTATCGTACGGTTTCTCTTTCCGCTGTATAATATCCGAAAATACGAGCCGCATAGAATAAACCGATCATTTCTCGAAGCGGTTCGAACATCAACCCTCCGAAGAATTTATAACTTCCTTCTGAAGATGAAAGGGAACACGGCGAGACTGATGCGTGCAGGACAAAAGCCGCGCATTATAGGATAACTGCCGTCTATTTGCAAAGTTATTTGCTTTGAAGATGTTTTTTCGAATTAACCTCGTTCGCAGGATCTTTCATTCGGAGGATCTCTTCGGACAACGTTCTCGAAAAATGCCTCTTTCACGCTTATTTTCTCGATCATCTTTCGGAGATATTTTAGAAATATTTTTACCCCCGCATTGCCAACGGTGCTCATTTACTATAATTTAAAAAAATCGTTGCGTTCCTTAAAAAATATCATAAAGTTCGTGCAATGGCATTGAAGATTTATTCGCATAACCTGGGCCACCGAGGCTTCAATTTTACCGACTGATTTGTTTGCTAACGCAAGGGTTGATGCACGCTTTTCCCACTTATAAAATATTTCCATTGAATATTTCCGATAAAATAATTCTCATACCGAGTTTGTAGGTCTGTCTACGCAAACTCGAGATTTTTTCAGAGTATCTCGCTGACAAAGATCAAATACTCCTGCAAAACAACCCCCGAAGGAGCAACGTACTCGTCTTGACGACGATTTCGTTCGAGTCGAAAAAGAGAGTGAAAAATGGAAGGTCGAAAATCGCCGGGGCCGTCTCCATCGTCGGAATCGTTTTCCCCCGCTCGTTTCTCTGTCATCGAGGTCCCCGATCGTCGGGAACCAGTTGGAACGCGTGTGAAAGACCGCGTTTTGCGCGTGCCTGCGGCTCTACGCGACGGAATTTCGAGGTACCAACACGCCCGTGATCGAAGCGCCATAAAACCGTTCCCCTCCTCGCCACCTGGACACGAAACTTGGCCTTTTTCCAGTCACGTAATTCCTCGCTCCGGTCGACGCCGTTACAATTTAATCAGCCGTTCTTGCAACTGGCCCCACAGTCGCCATTTTGGTGCCCGCGGTGAAACTCCGCGACGCGTAACCGAACGGAGAAAATTAGAAATTAATTACTTTTCACTGCGAAGTGGCAAATAGAGGAGTTCCTTTGCCAACAGACAATTAACGAAGCGCGCCTGAAATTGTTGCCGCGAAAGAATTCACGAGTTTCACGAGATGTCTCTCCTCGATCTTCGCGTAGGATCGCTCAATCATCGCGGAGTGTCTCTCAATTGTTACAGAAACGACAGAGGAAGATTAAGTAATCGGTCAATGAAGATTTGGGGAACCTGTCCGAGGATGACAAATTTGATTCGAACGATTTCTAAAGTCTCGGCTCAGCTTGCAAAAGTCGATGTATCACCGGCGATTCTTGCGCGGGGATTTATTCGAGATCGATCGGCTCGAGGATAGAATTAGAGGACAGGTTTTCAGGAGGTGCAAAAATGGCCCGACACGCCTCTAATCGGCAGACACGGGACCGACTCGCCGGCGGAATCGAGTATTTTTAAAGTCCGTGTACAAAGGATAGACGCCAGACAAAAATAAAGGAGTCGTTCCGAGGCGCCCCGATGGGAATTCCGTGTACAAATGGGAGAATTTCCTCCGTAAACGAAAAGAATCTCTCGCGACATCAAAACAATTCTCGGATTTCGTAAATTCGTAACTGCCATGACGAACGCGTTCCAGTCCCGAAAAAGGAAATAATTCCGTGACATTTCTCGAAATAGATCGCTCTGCGATTTCAATGCGTGGCACACCTGGACCATTTCTACCATTTCCTGCGACCAAAAGCGACCGATTCTTCTGTGGGAACATCGAGAAACGTTTGATCCATTCCACGTGACGTGGAATCCGAATCACGGATCGATCGATCGTGTATCGTTGATCGCAGAGCCGTCGAACGGCCGTGAACCCTCCACCGCCGCCATTACCATTTTTCCATTAAGGTCCCCGGCGGACAATGAAAACGACGGTTTTTCCGGGAAGAAAACGGTCGAAGTCGAATTTCAGTGGGCGGCCCGGCGAACATCTGGTGCACAGATTCTGGTTGTTGGCCTCGCAGCATTAAAACTGCTTTCTCTAAACGGTATTTAGCTGGAAGCCGAACGAACGGGCACGGTTCGGGAGTTTCCGGCAATTGCACACGTGCGTGGCCGTTAATATAGGTAAAAGTGTGTACAAGCCTGGCCATTGTGCGGGGCTACCTGAGAGAGAGACCCGCCGCCATTTTTACAATCCCTAAAAGGCAATAAATCACCGAGCAGTACACGCGCACCTTTCGCCTATTGTCCATACTTTCTATGGTACCTGCAGAACGCTCAAAGGACCATTATTGGAGGGCCCGGAACAAGTATGTAGCACCAGTCGTTTCATTGTTTCCCGGGGAAAACTCGAAAACTTTGCTCCCATGTTTGTCGTAACGCTGATTTTACAGAGACTGACCGTTTTTTGCGTTTCTCTGTAAAAACAAGGGGTCTACTCGATCCACGGAAATAAACTTGTCCAATAAATTCGCCATAAACGTGTCGTCGACCAGAATAATGTTCACTGTTAACTAAATAACAAATACCGTAGTTCTGGTTTCAGAAGAATCGTCATAGGCGTAGCAATCTAATTGGTGTAAACAGGCGTTGTAACAGACGTTCGCTTCTTACAGATTCTAGATTTTTGGGAAACAAAGACAATTATTAAATTCAGAAATAATTTTGATTAGACTGTTTGTGTCTAATAAAAAAGATAATCTGCAGATCTCTACACAATTTTCTAGCAGCTGATTTTTCAAGAGTTGAATTCAGAGCTGTGAAACTGGAAATGCTACTCTCAGACACCACTGAAAATTATTATACCAATTCTCAAAAGAATGTTTCCGTTATCATAATCTGTATCTGATAAATTGTTCAAAATGCGAGTAAAACAATGGACAGTGAAGTTACCGCGACTACTGATGTACTACAGCCGATTCACCGTGGCGAAAACGTCACAGTGAAACGAGACAGTCGAAATTTACTTTCCGGCAAACGCGGTTCATTGATAACCGTCCGAAATGCTAGGGCTGCGACGTTATATAAATATAAGTGCTCGCGTGTGTACGTATGCAAGCATATATTGTATATACATATAAATCCACATAGGTGTGCACGTTTGTATATTATTATGATTGAGCTCAATTGTCCAATTGCCCGGTCATTGAATGCCATATGTACAGCCGGGCTCGCCCGTTATTAGCGAACCGTCGATGATATTCTCAACCGGGTCGACCGCGTTTCCACGGGCCCGGGCCGGGCCGGGCCGGGCCGCGTGTCCGTGATCACACGGTGAAATGAGAGCCCCTGCCAATCTTTTGTCTATTAAATGTATTCAACAGGGTAATAGCGGCTGATATTACCAATTGGACAATGAAAGAGATGGCAGCGGACCGCGATTTCCATCCCCTCGCCCGTCCCCCGTCGCCCTGACCCCGTCGGGGATCACCGACACATTCAAGATTTCGTCAGGAGGCGACGATCTTGCCGTTGTCTCCGTTCCCTATCCGAACTCAAACGTTCCGCCTCTCGACCATACTCGAACGTCCAAGTTCAAGAACGCTTGTTAAAAAAAAACTCCGACCTCGAATTCCAAATTCAGCTCACAATTAGCTTCGACTTTGTTTCGAGCAGAGTGATTTCTCGACGGAGATCAAAACGTGGAGGAAACGCTTCGTTGATCGAACTTAACGAACTCGAACAAAGAAGAAGCTTCGGTGTTCGAACTAAACAAAATCAAAGGAAAGAGAACCTTCGCTGTTCGAACTAAACAAAATCAAAGGAAAGAGGCAGCTTCGTTGTACGAACTTAACAAAATCAAAGAAAAGAGAAGCCTCGCTGTTCGAACCGAGGAAACTCGAACAAAGGAAAAGTTTCGCTGTTCGAAACTTCCGACTGGAACAGAGGAGAATTATGTTTCGAGTTCAAAAGCGCATTGTAATTGATTTCTCGATAATATAGATCGTATTATTCGCTAAGAGACCGTTCTAAGATGAAAATACCGCTGACCCGAGGCGTCTTCTTAATAGTCACATTTTCGTTGATTTTGAGCCGCGGCCAAAAAATATTTCGGACGCCTGTTTTAGAGCCGCGGCACGCATAATACATCATGTCCGACTCAAACGTCTCGACCATCGTGTATCCAGCGATAAGACATCATC